TCTCAATGGAATGATTAAAATCTTGCATAATTTAATAGCATATTTTAATGACTTAATATTTACTACCTTAGTTATAGATTTTATTGGCCCAAACACTATCCACAAATTATCTACACTTTCCTTAAAGAAACATTACTAAAAAAATGAATCTCAGTTAATATTATCACAAAAAATAAACAGTCTACAGAAAAAAGCATGAATTCAAACAATATTGTGAGTTTAAAAAACTGTTATACTTCTCCAACATGCTGAGATCTGGAAGCAGAGATTAATTCCTATAACCATGTTTTAAGTCTCACTCTGACCCTGCACTTAGTTCCAAAAGAGGTCAAAATTCTTAGCACTTATTCCCATGGTAAATGTCCAATTCTTATTTCATATACATATTTTTTGAAGATTTCTAATGATTTCCCTTGGCTCTTAAGAAAAGAATTTGCATTTTTTAAGAATGTTTCTTTTAAGAAATGTTTGAGGATGAAATTTTGTAATTCTAAGTATTAAATTATGCCAAAAGCCACTTACTTGATAGTCTTTAAAAACCATAGCACAATTGAATGAAAGCACAGATTGTAAACCATCTTAAATAACACTAAGGCAATGTGCACATAATGAACAATGTAACTTAATTTTCATGTAACAGATAACATCTGGGGAAAAAATATATTGGTAAGTTATGCAAAACTAATTTTCTACTGACCACATCTGTAGACATTATTTATTATATGTTCACTTAACAGTCCATTATTCTGTTTAGAAATCTATTCTCTTCTTTATTAGAGCTTTTAATGTACTCACCTTGGTTCAAATGGTCTGCTCATTATCAGAAAAAATATAAATGGCATTCACATGGAACAACATGATTGTTTTTTACTATATCCATTTGTGTGCAAGCATTCAAAAATGGCAAAAGAAACACGTTTATTGCTTTACATTCGAAGTAATATTTAGGGGATATTTGAAAGTCAGGAAAAACCAATCATTTGGCCAAATGGATGTATGTGCATAATCAGAAACTCCTGATTTTTAATCTCACCATTGAGCCACGGGCAAGTCACTTAAAGTCCTCTGCTTTGTTTCCTGATCTGAATATTATGGGTGCCTTTCTTATATGAAAAATGGGGGGAAGGGTGCTAAGTCATGGTACCAAATAGAAGTGCTTTTTAAATAAACTTGATCCTTTTTTCTGTTTTTATTTTTCCAGCTATTAGAGGCAACATATTAGACTTTTGAGGAAAAAAATATGAGACAATTATGATCCTACAGGAATATATAAAAATAGTTATAAGGCTAGCTTTATTTAATTTGTTTCAACTATTCATAGACTTGAGGAAATTATAATGCTCTTTAAGAAATCTAACTTAATAAAGCTGACCATGTCTCTCTGTTTTAAATAGATTTTATTACAGAACTAGTGATGTTGTAAAACATGAGGTTTTGTTAAAAAATATAAAGACTTAATTGTATATTTTAAAGTAAGTGTTGCATCAGCCGGTTTCATTGAAACATTCTTTCTGGCTCTGTGTTCTCACTACAATTATTGATTCTAATTTTTCTCAAACTTGTTTTTTTATTTTCTGTTTTGTTATTTTTTAAAAAGCTACCTTTTTGTAAGTGGATTGGATTGCTACTAGGATAGTTCTGGGTAGTATGTTCATTTCAAACTATGTATTTGAAACTGTCTTTTATTATGAACAAAAACCTCAATTCTATACTCATCTGAATCAGGACGTTTCTTGTTCTTATAGTAACTCATAAATCAAGTTATGTGTAAAACATAGATATGGTTTGGTTCATTAATAGTATGCAAAGCATACAAAGAAAAGAAATTCTCACATCTAGTTTTTGTGCACAAATCAAATCAATTTAATAGCCATATGAACTACAGTCATAAAAGTCAAGGGAAAGAAAAGCTCTACTCTGCCAGAACTTCAGCTTCTTGGAATAAATAGGAGCTTTACTCTACCAAAGAAATAATGATGAGAATCCATAAAGTTTGTGCCCAGTAAATACACACACACAACACACACATACACACACACACACACACACACACACACACACAGTGTCAAAGACAAGCATACTGAGTATTTAGCAAATCAGGTGAGAGACCTAAACACAAATATCTGTTTACAATTAGTTAGAGCTGATGGCATAAGAAAATAGATGGAAAGAAAGAATGATATTGCCCCATTTGTTAGGAAATGGAAGGATTTGGAAAAAATTATATTAAGTGAAGTAAGCCAGGCCCAAAGAAACATAGGTCTCATGGATTCTTTTATTTGCAATAACTAGTATATGTTGGGGACAAGCAGAAAAGATCAAAAGCTATGTACATCTGACCAAATAAGATGATGTTAAGTGAAATGAACCCCAAGATAGGGATACAAGTGGTTTTTTCTTTCTTGTTATTGTTTCTAACATATTTATAACGTACCATGTGATTTTTTGTTGCTTTTTATGTTCCTCCCCCACAGTATAAACCCTCTTTTCACTGTATTTGATGTCGGTATAATTTGGGAAGGGGAAGGGTAAAAACAAAATGTTTAAATAGGGATACAGGTTGACCCATTGTAACAATGAGATGTACAAGACACTATATTGAAAACGAATTTTACAATTTAGGGGGAGGGGGTAGGGGGAGGGTGGGGAATACAGGTGGGAGGGAAGGGATGGTAGGAGAAAAACAAAGGAGGAGGCAACAATGCTTGATAAGAAATGTACTCATTACCTTGCTCCTGTAACTGTAACCCTTCTATACAGTATTTTTACAATAAAAAAACTTATTAAGAAAAAAAGAAAAAGAAAATAGATGGTAAAGTCTGCTATTATCAAAATGTAAAAGCTATCTACCAAGAACTTCATGGAGGTTGGGAGCAAATTAGCAGAAAGGCCTATGTATAAAAAGCATAACACTAGCACAAATACAGTGACAGCAGATAAGACAAAATTCAACTTCATTAAAAGAAAACACTTTCATCTTACAGAAAAGCTCATGCCAATTTTCTCAATACCTTCAGTAAATTCAGCAAACTCCAGCCCACCTGCCCCCTCCTCTTCATCCTTTATTTCCTCCCTTCCTCCATTCCTTCCTTTCTTCCTCCTTTTTATTTTTAGACAACATCTCAGTATATAGCTCAAGATGGCCTTGAACTCAAGACTCTCCTGTCTCAAGCTCCCAACTGCTTGGGGTGACAAGCATGTTACCACCATGCCTGATCTTTCCTCTTCCTTGTCTCCCTCATTCTTCTATACAAAGAGCATTCCGTTTCTCCCCATATATTAAAGTCTATACCACTAAGTCATACCTCATCATCTTCTCATGTGCAGCTTTTGTTTACATTTAATGTTTCAGAGACACAAAAGTATATTTGCCTATTTCTTTTTCCCAACTTGGGAAACAAGGACAACAAAAGATGTGTGATCATAAAAAGGGCGGGGGGAACACAAAAATAATTTTGTGAGAAGACAAAAGTGCTTCTAAACCCCACTTAGGAAAATGTAGTGGCTTTTGAATGTGATCAGAAAAAACAACTGTTTAGATATGTTTTCTCAGTACTCTGTTTTGATGAATATTTAGAAGACCTAAGATAAACAATCCAGAATGATGTCAACTAACAATGGAAATTAAGTGCTTAATAATATCAATAATTTCCAAGTATGGGCATTTGATGACATTTTACAATGTACTGAAATGATATAAGCTAAGGTCAGTACATCAGGGTTTAACTCCCAGGCTTGGAACCAAATAATTATTTGTCCTCAGACCAATCATTTAACCTCTTCTTTTCCAAATCTGTTTGCCTGTGAAATTAAGATACTTCTATATATTTACATTTAGCAGTAACTTCTTATCAAGTTAAAATTAGTGATTCAAATTTAGTTTAAAATGCATACACATTGATAAGAATGCCTTAGCTTCCAGTACCTTCCGAAACTTATCAAAATGAAAAAATGATATTTCTTTAAAGGATGAAAGTTTATTTGAAGCACTGTTAAGTTAGAAGTGAATGAATGACTGTTTCACAATTTTCTCTAGTTGTCACAGAAAGGTAACTGGTGCATGTATGCATTTGCAGGGTTTTGTCATCAAACCTGTAAGTTCAAGTTGTGACTTTGCCAGCATAGAGTGAGTGACCCTATCTCAGAAGTGCAAAAACAACCTCATGAATTAATATACAGATTGGCACAATTTATTGATTTATAGTGAGGAATGGCATAAAACAGAACACTCAAAGTAGACATGTCTTTACAGATCAACTGAGATGGGAAAAGAAATTATGGTCAAAACATTACTTGTTAAACATGGAATTAGAACAAAGGGAACTAATTAAATGATCCAGATGTTTAATGCTGTTGGTACCCTCATCTCCTCTTTCTCTCTCTGAAGTCATGGCAGATGGGCCCTGCCAAAATAGGCTTCCTTGACTCTTCTGTTCTATCCTTTCCAATGTTGACTTTCACTCTCCCTCTGACTGGCACACTGGCCAAAGAGTTGTCAAAGGCTCCTGGGGAAATCTTGTCTTCCCTTCTCCATTTTCATTGAGTCTCTCTGATCCATATATTAGCCTCTCAACCTATACAGTCCCCATCACTCTGAATGGCCACGTCACTGGTCCCTACAACCTAGCTCCATTAGGCTGGCTATCATTTACATAATAAGTATCTAACTCTCTGCCAGAACTGGATTTGTACAATGTCTAAAGCATGATTCTCTACATATAGAGAGCTTGTAGGCAAGAGTAAAGGACTGGGATTCAAACAAAGAACAAAGCATACAAAATGAAGACCTCACTCACAGAGGACAAAGAGTGAGATAAGGAAGGGTAGACAAGAAAATGCAAATTGTGATATATAGAGATAAAATTTAAAAAGCACCAGATTAGAAAGAAGGCAATAAAATGGAACATTCAGAGGGTTGGCACTCAGACCATACCACACCTATAATAATGGCTGAATTGTTGTCGCTTAGCAAAGACCATCATAATTCTTTTCCTCTACAGCAAGTGATAGAGGTTGTCAGGCCTACAGGCTACCAATTCCCAGATCCACTGGAAGAAGGAATCTCCTTTGACATTTATTCAACATTCATAGAGCCAGTATCAACACTGGATACAGATGTGAAGGTAAGCTTCCTCTTGTTTTATTTGACTCACCCAACTTCAGCCTTATAGAAGATGAAAGAAACAAACATACGGCTATTTTCTTTGTCTCAGACTTTCTCAAGCCAAATACAAATGCTGATGGTAGTTCAGCAGTGTTAATGCTCCTTAGTCTCCATCTATACTTTCCCAAAATTAGATGCTGCCTTGGCACCATGACTTGGCCTGAGATAATCCCTATAAGAAATAAAATAATGTCAAATCAAAGTTTTTCTCTATATGGACATTGTACTTAGCCTAACAGTATCTGGTAGAAGTTTGAGATTGCATATTAATCCACACATGTTCCAGAAGGCATCTGAATGTTGTTCACTTTCAACATTCTAGGCTGAAGAACAAGAAATTCCAGAGGAGAGCCAGGCAGAAAGTGACACTGTAGAAATGGATCCCTTAGTCGGCTACACCATTGAAGATGTAAAATCAGCTCTGGCTCAAGTGACAGATATCTTACTGGGCATTCAGGTACTTAGTATTGGTAGTGTCTCCACTTTATTACTGGTTAATTAGCCAAGATCAGCCTTACCATCTAATACCTAAATACCTAACACTGTGCTACCTAAACATTGTTCACACTGTGTCAGAAAGAGAAAGACAGCAGTCATTATATTCAATGTACATATGCTATGTAACTTGAGGGTAGGGACAGAAGGAGGACAATGGGAGAGAATGAAGAAGAGGGTATGACATTGACAAAGAAGCATTGTTTTCATAATCTGACTTATGGACTTGTAACCTCTACAACTACTTAATAATAATATTTTTAATCGACTTCTGAGCCAGGCACTAGTGGCTCATGCTTGTAATCCTAGCTACTCAGGAGGCTGAAATCTGAGGATGGCAATTTAAAGCCAGCCCAGGCAGGAAAGTCTGTGAGACTCTTATCTCCAATAAACCACCAGAAAACCAGAATTGGCACTGTGAATCAAGTAGTAGAGTGCTATCCTTGAGCTGAAGACCTGAGGGGCAGCTCTCAGACCCAGAGTTCAAGCCCCATGATTGACAAAAGGGGGGAGAGAGAGAGAGAGAGAGAGAGAGACAGAGACAGAGAGACAGAGAGACAGAGAGACGAGACAGAGAAATATTTCTGATAGAGTAGCTCAATCTAACACTACCAACAAACACCAAACAATTCTCAATTGAATCATTTGCAATTCAGTAAAGACCATAAACTAGATCTGCCAGCAGCATCTAGTGTAGTGTATGTTATCTGTTTACAAAATCATTCAACATTGAAATCCCAGAAAATAGCATGGTAATGACTTTGTACCTTGTTCCACTGTAAACAGTGCTTATGCAAGAATAATTGGTATGCATTCCTAAATTGGTGTGTAGTAAACACGAAAGATCAGATCATAATTCCTAAGTTTTCTCACCAAACTTCTTTAATTTCCAAAAAAACAACAGTATTTAAAATTCTTCTCCAACAGTTCTTTCCTTTTCCCATCTCTCTAAGAGTGGACACTAGTGGCTATTAGCAAATAGAGCTGGCACCCATCACCTCCACAGGAGCTACCAGTGCCTACCAGCCAGATTGGCCATGTGCTCTATTCTTTCTCATTCTGTTCAAAAGGCAAACAATCATTTCGTCTCAACACATTTAGAGGAATTCACATAGCCTTCCGGGTCAAATGACTACATAGGTGAACTGCATATTTTAAGTGAATTTGTAATTTCATAGAAATAACTGTACAGCAGTAAAACATACTAATGATTTGCCTATCAGATCATAAGATCATATATAAAAAGCACACTGTATTAACAACTAATTTAGAAAGAGCAAAAGATTAGCTTGGCATAAACATACCTTGTTACTTGTTTAATCATCAAGTGTTATTGCAGTATTTACATGAACATTTAATGATTTGGTGCCAACAGGCTTAGCCAAAATCCTCAGCTTAATAAGGGGTGGTAAGTGTTTACTAGAAATAGTGGAAGAACACGTTTTACACAAAGCTTTATTGTTAACAACCCCATGGATGTAATAACTGGGTAGTGTGTAGAAGGGCAGAGTGCAGTTGAATTAAGCTGACTTCAAAACATATCTCCGTCTTAGATTTGATAACATTTCATTTAAATATAGTTTATGTGTAATCATGGCTCTGGGATCTCTTGCAATCCTGTGGCTCTGAAATTATTGCTAAGGAACTACTAGACAGCAATAGAATAGTTTGCAGCTCCTCCCCGCAAATTGAAAACATCTTTTCCAAGGCCATGTTTCATGTAGTGAGCAATGAGTTTTTAACTATTCAATGATTAAAAAATAAATTAGAGTATGCAGCATATGTACCTCTACTTTGTAACAAAAAGAATATGATTGCTATGTATGCATGTATGCATGCTCTCTCCTCATTTACCTGAAGCCGTCCTGGAAATCCATTAGCTTGCTCACCTAAATGTAATTAGTTGCAGAGAAAATATGAAGCAGAAGAGAGATGTGAATCCTGATTTCAGAATCCTGATTATTCCCATCTTAAATGGATCTGTGGACGTCAGCCTGGACTAAATTACTGCAAATTTTTCAATGAAATGGCAAGGTGTGGGTTTACACAATGTTTCTAGATAGCAAACCCATTTATGTGTTTATTCTCAATAATCCTTATAAACTCCAAGCAGTTGAGGAGGGTGCTTCTCCTGATAAATTGAGAACTGAGATGGGAAGATTAAGTCATTTGTCTCGAGTTTCCAGGGTCAACAACTGATGAAAGACCCTGAATAGGAGCTGTGAACCAAGTCCCAGTTCTAATTCCAAAGTTATCCACAAAAGACACATAAGGTCTAACATCACAACCATGTTGCTTTGAATTTTAATCCACTTGTAGATTGATAACTTTTTCAACATCCACCCTTCTGTCTTGGTCAAATGCCAATTTGGGTAATTACTCTCTGTTTACCTCAGTTTCTCTTTCTGCACCAACCGGTGAATGCTTTTTCACTTTTGAAACTTGACTTCCAGTGATCCTGGCTCTAAAATCTGCCACATTTCTATTCAGAGAGCGCCGCATGCCAGTGGTCATTGTACCTCAGCCTTGTGTACTATCCCATGGAACACACTTTTGATGAATTACTAGTTTCTTCATTTACTCTCCCATCTTGTTTTCTTCTTATTTAAAAAACAGACTCATAATGTTTTGCAGGAAAAGCCATAGAGAACTCATGTGTTCAGGCTAATTTGGGTGGGGTTGGGAGAGAGAGGGGAGAATGATGATTGGAGTGATATTGATTGAGAGGCAGTACTTACAAACTGACCTGCTAAATTGAAATCCTTTTATAACAACGGCTTACAGGTAATTAAACAAAATAAAACCAGGATAATTTTTCTCAGTGCTCCTTCTCTGGTGTGGTTACAAACATACCATCTTTTATACTACAGAAATTTCTGAAAATGTCATGTGAATCCTTATAATTTTTATGTTAATCCACTTATTTTTCCATTGATTCACTTTGTAATTCTGGAGATTTATTAAGAATGAAGTTATCTTGGCCCTCAGATGTTAATTAAAAATTATACTGAATAGAGCAAACATTTTATGCCTACATAGTTTAGGGTTTTTAATTTTAAAGATACATTCAAAATGAAATTATTTTGGCTCTGAGTCACATAATAAAAATTACATCCAATGGAGCAAACCTTAATATATTTAAAGAATCACATTTCAGAGAAATGTGAATGCTAACACTAAATTCTTACATTGAATGTTGGCTGATGGCCCTGTCTTACAAATAGGGTAAAATAATGTGAAAACCTTGAGAATCCCAAGATGATGTACTTCGAATTTTCCAGATTAAAGAGTTGAGTGAGATCTCCAGAAGGCAGTGGTCAACAAAAGGTTATTGAACAGAGGATATAGATTTGGCATTGGTTGCCAAAGGAACTGTCTCCCATGATTGGGTGATAGCTTGTTTATTCAAAAGCATCCTGAGGAGTCATAAGGAGAGATGACAGAAAAATCAGAGCTTTTATTTGACCTGACACAGTCTTCTGACCCAGCTCCCACTAGTTGTTACTGAACTACAGTACTGTTCATCAAGTTCTGAAGAGCTGGAAGGTTCCTCTCCTATCAGTATAGCACTCTTGTGAAGCACACCTCACCTTTGTGAATCTTTTTCCACGGCACACACTTATTTCAATAAACCCTGTCTCTGTGGTATATCAACATGGTGAGTGAAAATACCCCAGTGCAAGGGTGAAACAGAAGCTAATGGATAGTTGGGAAGGTGGCTCAGTGGTAAAGCGCTTGCCTAGCATGCTTGAGGCCCTGGGTTCGATTCCTCAGTACCACATAAGCAGAAAAACCTGGAAGCGGCACTGTGGCTCAAGTGGTAGAGCGCTAGCCTTGAGCTGAAGAGTTGAGGGACAGCGCCCAGGCCCAGAGTTCATGCCCCACGACCAACAAAGAAGAAAGAGGGGGAGGGGGAGGAGGAGGAGGAGGAGAAGGGGGGGGAGGGGGAGGAGGAGGAGGAGGAGGAAGAAGAAAGGAGGAGAAAGGAGAAGAAAGGAAAAGAAAGAAGAAGAAGAAGAAGAGAGTCTACCAGTCCTCAGCTGGAAAGTATGAGATTATTGGCAGGCACAGACACATGATAATGAAAGTGAGAGAATAAGTGTTGGAGGAGAACATTTCTTCCCAGTTCTTTGGAACTGTGACAAAATGATTTCGTCAAATAATTGCAATCCCTATATGGTCTAAAGCGTTGTCTGTACAAATTTCATTTTAACCAAACAAGAGTAACGTTTTTATATTCCATAGAAACATATCAATGATATGTCATTTGCAAAGTGTGAAATTGAGAGTTGGAATTACAAATTTAAAACTAGAGTATAATGTCAATAAAACCCTATGTTCCTACTTAAAACTTCAAACAAGAACTAACATGCAGAAGTAATCCTGATGCTACATAACCAAACTAGTCCAGAGGCTTCCTCACTGATAGGCCAGCCTTCCTTCCAACTTTACTAAAACCAATCACAAGGATATTCATGAAATCCTGAAGGATTGGAAGGTCATGTTATCTTTCCTTGTCTTCACCCAGCCACTAAGAAAGGAGGAAAAAAACAAAAAACAGAGGCTAAACTTGATCCCAGGACTTAAAAACACTTGAATCAAAGGAGATTAATATACACATGAATGTTGAATGCAGCATTACTGACACCAATGTGATCATGTCAGACACAAAACAAAGTTGCATCAGATGAAGTAAGCAGGACAGACATTTCAGAATTCTCTATTATATTTACATACTTAAAATATTAGGCAACTTACATCTGGGCCTAAATCAATTTTTTTTTAATTTTCTTCTATTTAAATTAGATAATTAAATTTTCTCAAAATATGAAGACATTGAAAAACCTCTCATTATGTTTTATGTACATATATATGTGTGTGTGTGTATTAGACTAGATATATATATATGTCTATATTCTAATAAATATGTATATATTCTAAAGTTTAAATTTATGAACACTATTCAGTATAAACTACACTTCATGCACATGTAGATTTTTTCAAATTATTCAAACAATGGCAACAAAACAATTTTGCTAAGTCAACCTACACTGATTTGTCTCTATGCAATTTTATTATCCATCATGATACAAGGAAGACATTTCCAGGGCTGCTGTTAATGTTCAGATGATGTGTAAGTAGTTCTGAAATTGTGCAGGTAGCAATGTTAGTCCACAGAATATCACTGCCAGAGGCTAAATGCTATCGATCATGACTGCAGTAATCGCTAAAACCTGTCAGAAATTGCTTGCTTTCCTCTCCCAAAAATATCCCACAAAATGGCATCACTCCAAAAGTTGTAATGTATGATGAATGCTGTTAATTATGAGAATTGTTCGCATTGTGAGATTATTTGTGTTGTTATTTCACAACAGCAGCTCTCCGCAATCCCTTTTAGAATGCATCACACAGAAGACAAAAACATCCACTGCAGAGGGGTGGGGCAACCCACAACACTGAAATAACTGAGCCCAAAGCAGTTATTCTGATTCTGTGCTTATTGGTAAAGTCTGTCTGAAAATACAGATAAATTATCCTATCTTCCAACACAAGGCTATGTGAAAAATGGCTATCCAAATACCACTTCCTGTTCATAGTAGACATGCTATACATTGGGAATGTGCAGAGAAATATGATAAAGTGTTATCACATCACTACAGGCTGAAACACAGCTATGTCTGCTAAACAGGAAGGTGTGTGAGGGATAATGTCTGTCTTGAGGCACTATAGGATGTCAAAACCACAAAGACAATGTGCAGCAAAAGATAGCTGCATCATAACCACTCTTTTTATGATTGTCTTCACAGACTGAGATAAACCAAAAGCTGCAAATACAGGAAGAGGCCTTTAATGAACGAATTGAAAAATTGAAAAAAGTCTGAAGAATTGAGTAACAAGGAGAACGTTGTTGAACTTCAAGAAACAAACCAAAGTCATCAAAATAATGATTCTCTAGGGCACCAGATCTTCATCATTTAGCTGAAAAAGGAAAACCCAGCCCCACTTTTTATTATCCTAAGTAATTAGAAAAGTAGAAGCCTCAACTTTGCCATCGCCTGCCCTATAACTGCCACTCCATTTATTGCATCACATATAAGAGAATACTTTGGATACAAGAGTTTGGAGAATTATACGTAAAACTATAATTACTTTTATGATGGCTTTTTGACATTTGGGCTAATAAATGCTATTCATCTTCAGTGAGAATGGAGTCAGCTTTTTAAAAGAACCAGAAGTAAAGGAAAATAATAATAATTTTATCCAGTATTGACCTAAATAATCTTCCACATTTCTATGGGATGCCAAGAATTCCCTGCCAAGGCTAAAACTTGCTAAACAATGGAAATCCAAATGCATATTCTAGTTATTTTTTCTTACTTAACTCATTTGGTTTTCTTATTTAAATGTTTCAGTGTGAAACCAATTTTCTGAAATTATATAATGCAGTTTGAAGCATTTTAATTTATTCTGCACTGTATTTGTTATTTCTAATCTTGTTACCCTCCCAGGAGAACTCATGACCTATATAAAGAAGCAGTGTATAAGTGGTTATTAAAGACCAACCTATATAGAGATTGTAAAAAAAAAAATCTTAAATACTAATCAAACTCAGAGTTCCTAAAATTAACTACTATATTGCAGTGGAATAATTGAAAAATAGCTGTAGTCTTTAAATATCCACATGAAAATAGAATTTCAAAACAAAAATAGCTTATGTGTCAACTGATTGTCCCTAGTAAGAAAAATAATTGCTACCTAAGCTCTTCTCAAGGCTCCTAGCCTTCAAAGTATTTCTGAAATAGGGTGGTTCTCTTAATAATATTCAAGACTGGGGCCAGAAATGGTGGTAGACACCTGTAATCCTGGCTACTTGAGAACAGGAATGGGAGAATTATGGTCTGAGATCAGCCAGGGCAAATGTGTGGGGTCCTATCAAAAGCAAACTAAAGCAAAAATGACTAGGAACTTGATTCAAGAAACAGAGCAAGCATAAGGCCCTGAGTTCAATCATCCCTTTCTTCTTCCTTCAAAAAAAAAAAAAGCAAAAATATGAGGTGGTCCATGTTTGAATATAGTCTATCATCCTATCTTCTCTATCAATATCAAAGGAACTTCCCTGGACAGGTTCATCTGGGACAGAGACAGAGCTGACAGATTTTGGTACTTTCTAACTACACTGTTCAGCAAAGTTAGAGTGGTCTTTAAGTTAAAACTGTGTTGTTGGGCTGAGAAGGTGGCTCAGTGGTAGAGCACTTGCCTTGCATGCATGAGGCCCTGGGTTCGATTCCTTAGCACCACATAAGCAGAAAAAAAAAGGCGGAAGTGGCACCATGGCTCAAGTGGTAGAGTGCTAGCCTTGAGCTGAAGAGCTGAAGGACAGCACCCAGGCCCAGAGTTCAGGCCCCACAACCAGACCTCCACCCCCCCCCCAAAAAAAACCTGTGTTGTTGTTGTTGTTGTTGTTTAAAAAAGAATGGTAAAACCATGTTTACTGTTTCATGTATGTACTCCAAGGCAAGCAGCCCCAAGCTTGCTTGCTTTCCTGCATGAAAACATGCATTACCATAGGAAACATAGGAGGGCTCCTACTTTGGATGCCCTCTGCATTTTTTATTTTCTGCTCGTGGGGTTTGAACTCTGGGCCTGGGAGCTGTCCCTTAGCTCCTCAGCTCAAGGCTAGCGCTCTACCACCTGAGCCATAGAGTCACTTCTGCTTTTCTGGTAGTTTTACTGGAGATAAGAGTCTCAAGGACTTTCCTGCATGGGCTGGCTTTGAATTGCAGTCCTCAGATCTCAGCCTCCTGAGTAGCTAGGATTACAGGCGTGAGCCACTCTGCATTCTTTACTTGAGTATGTGCATGGTGGTACCAGGCTCACAGCCTCACACTTGCTTGGCTTTTTCATTCATGGCTAAGGCTCCCCTACTTGAGTTGTGCATCCAGTTTCTTTCTTCAGGTTCTTTCCAGGGAACATATGAAACTGAACTAACTAAAAATAAGTTGCAAAGAAACTTCTAGAAATCACCAAACACCACTTCAATTGCAATCATTGGTATAGAGTGGACTGCACTTGTAATAAAGTGTTCATTTGGGGAAGGCTATCAGGAGTCCAAAAGTGAATGAAAATAGCACTCTAATCCATCAAACTACATGAAGACAATGGGCTATAAACATGCCTAAAATGAGATAGTCAGGTCTGACATTGGACAGGCTATGCAATCTCTTCTTTATTTTTTCATCTACTAAGTGAAGAAAATATTTACTTTTGTGTTGGTTTTGTTTATTTTCCATGAGTTTTGTTGTCATTGTTGTTGTTACTCTTTGCGTTGCTGGAGACCAAATCCAGGGCCTTGCACATGACATGCAAGCACTGCCACTGAGATCCATCCATAGTCCTTAAGAGACAAGCATTGAAGCTGGGCACCTATGGCTCATACCTGTAATCCTAGCTACTCAGGAAGCTGAGATCTGAAGATCATGGTTCAAAGCAAAGCCAGCCCAGGAAAGTCCATGAGACTCTTATGCCTAATAAACCACCAGAAAACTAGCAATGGCACTGTGGCTCAAGTACTAGAGCGTTTGCCTTGAGCTGAAGAGCTGCGGGACAGCACCCAGACCAGAGTTGAAGCCCCACCACTGACAAAAAAAATAAATAAATATAAGAGAGAGAGAGGCATTGGGTTTTTGTTTGTGTTTTGGATTCTTTAATAGTACTCATTTCTGAGGCGATTAGGAGGATTCAATAAAATCATATTAAAAGTCTTTCATCACAAGATTTGTTCCCGGTTTACCTCTTAGGGTGCACAAATTATCACTGCCCATCTCAAAACCTACCTGAGTTTGGGGCACACCTGTCTAAAAGAATTCCCAGCCTCCTGTTTCTACCAGTGTACCGGTGGGTGAGTGTGGCCTCCTACTCTTGAGATCATCTCTCTGTCATGGCTCTGCCTCTCTGTTGTCCTACATCTTTCCTGTTGAACCAACAAGGCTCTCTGTGGCAGCCTGACATTAGGATATAATAATATGAGCAAGAGCAATCATGGTAGCCATTGCTCAAAATTTTAATTCACATCCTGTGTGCTTTTAACTTAACACTGAACTTGTAAAGGGGTATTAATATTTTGCAAAAATAAAAAAATTAAGTGCACATAATAGACACTGTAGAGACAAAGAAAAACAAATCTCTCTCTGGGTATTCACATTCCTCTCCCCATAGGCAACTCTAGATTCCATTCGACCCTTTAAAATAGGTGGGTTGTATCAGTGTTTAAAAAAAAACAAACCTAGATTGCTCTTTACTTTGTTTTCATCATATATGTGAGAGATGATTACATCAGTGCATTTTTCTCACCATCTATTTCATCAAGTTTAGCTGTTTTTTGACTAATTCTGTTTATCCCTTCACTTTCAAAACTTCTAAACTATTTAATTTCTGGCACTTTGTTATCACTATACTCAACAATCATCTTTGTGTGTACATGTCTGTAAATATTTATGATTTCTCCTTTAGGATAAAAATCTGAGAAACATTTTCTAGGTCAAATTAAGCATTATTTTGATTCTTCATAGATATAGTCAAAGAAGCTCATTTTGCACCCTTCCTAAATAGTGTGTGTGAATGTGTCTTTTTCTACCTTCTGATAGTGGCCACATTTTTTTTATTTTTGTCATTCTGATAAATAGAAAATTTTCATTTGTTTTTGCTGTCTCACTCAAATGGATTAAGCCCTTTTTTATATGCTCTTAAGCAAGCATATATATTCATTAAATATACACAATACATCTATTGAATGATTCAACAGTCATTAAAAATAGTGATTAAGAGACTCATTTTATAGTAATAAAGATTAAAACTTAGATTATCAACTTAAACAAAGTTTATACAACTGACAATTGGTAGATCATGGCTTCAAATCCAGATCTGATTTATTTTACAGATGATAGAGCTGGAATACAGAGACATTTTAGGTAGTTTTCCCAAGATCATGCATCCAGTAACTGGTAGAAGCAGGCTTTGAACCCAGACCTTTATCATTATAAACCTATATACTTAACTTCTGTCTTTCTCTGTCCATTTAATAGTTAAAACAAAAAAATGGATCTATTTTTCTCTTCCTAGGTATAATAGGGGAATAAACTTGCTTATGTCATTGGAATATTTAGGAAATGTACACATTTCCACATTTATACAAATGTATCAGTTATCGTGGAGAACGCAGTTCCAACCATTCATTCCTGTTATGTGTTGAGAACTTCCTCTGTACCTGGGCCTCTAATGAGAAGCCAAAGGGGCAGATTCTGTGCTGTACTTATCTGTCACAGTGAATGCTATGACAAAGATAAGCTTCAAGTAGTTATGAAAGTATAGAATAAAAGTGCTTGATTTTTGTCTGCAAGGTCAGGGAGGATTCCCACAGGTATTCGCGTTTGTGCAGGGATCTGAGAGGTGGGTGGAGTTTAACCTGACCTACGATGGCTCAAGAAGATGCATTTCAGGCAGAGAGTAAGATAAGCAAAGCCTCTGAACGCAAATGAAGGCTGAACAATTGACAAGAGTCAGAGATCTCTTACAGGGTCACAGACCATTACAGATTTTTATTTTTAACCTAAAAGTAAAAGAGAAATTGTTGACAAGTTTTAAATAGCGAGTGATATCAGATTATTTTTTAAATATGTTTTTATTGTAAAAATACTATACAGAGGGGTTACAGTTACATGAGCAAAGTAATGAGTACATTTCCTATCAAGCATTGTTACCTCCTCCTTTGTTTTACCCCTACCATCCCTTCCCTCCCATCTCAACAACTATACCCCGCCCTCCCCCCTCCCCCCCCCCCCCCCCCGGCCTAAATTGTAAAGTTCATTTTTCAACATAGTGCCTTGTGCATCTCATTGTTACAATGGGTCAACCTGTATCCCTATTATTTCTAAAAAGTTCATTCGTACAGTCCTAGAACTTCTCTGTGGAGACCTGGAAATGAGAATATTGTCATGAAGAGACTTTAACTGCTAATGAATCTAGAGTACCACATTGTAGCAGTTTCTAGGAGTGGGAAAAATAAGGAAAATAAAGACATTGGGTCTCCCCATCCTAAGAAGATTTTGGGGCAAAGCAGGAGTCTGAAGAGCCAATTATAAATTATTCCCCACCTACATCTGAGATGAGGAGCTGCCTTTCTCTTAAAATTGACAAGAAGACA